TTCTACTCAATCCTGTTAAATATTCAGATAGGGCTGGAACTTGAGGTAGCTGGGTGGCACTCTCAGATAAAGCACTGGGCTTCATGGTCAGTTTGAACTACAAGGTCACAGGTTCAAACTCACCAGCCACTCCTTGGAAGCCCTATACATGGTAGCTGTGAATCTGAACCAACTCCACGGCAACAACTTAACAACAAACAATAGTGGATCCCTTACTGATGGATGATTTAATAAGACTGCCTTGCCTTCTTTTTTAAAAAATAGGAAAGTCCTTTTAAATAGGCTGAAGAAAAAGATGAATAGAGAGGAAGAAAAGATACAGAATAGGGGGAGATGGAGCAGAATTCAAGGAAATGGGATCTAGATCTCACATGGGCTGTTGTCCTTTGAAGAGAGGAGCTGCAAAGGGAAAACGTGCATTCGGCAGTGACAGGAAGCTGAAAGATGTCATCTGTTTCTCCTTGTGATTCGTGAGATACAGCTGTCTTGCGATAGTGAGGCGAGGGGAGGGCACAGAAACTTACATGAGTGAAGAAGATACTGTAGCCAGAGTTGGCAAATGGTCTTGGTAGAAAAAATGTCTTGAAATTGGTACCCAGCTTTTCATTGTTGTTGTTGTTGCTAAGTGCCGTCGAATCGGTTCTGACCCATAGCGACCCTGTACAGGGTTTCCAAGGCTGTACATCTTTACGGGAGCAGAAAGCCTCATCTTTCTCCCGCAGAACATCTGGTAGTTTCGAACTGTGGACCTTGTAGTTCGCAGCCCGATTCATAAGCACTATGCTTCCAGAGCTCCCAGCTTTTCATTATTGGTCGTGAATTTAAAGTGAAACCTGAACATAGTATTGTATGAGAATCCCTATTCTTTTACTTTTCACAACTTCAATAACTATGTTAAGCAGAGTGCGGATGGTTTTAAAGGATAAGCACTGGACTACCAATCACAAGGATAAGCACCAGCCGCTCTGTGGGAGACAGATGAGGCTTTCTGCTCCCGCAAAGATTTACAACCTCAGAAGCACTCCCCAGGGTCGATATGAGTGGAACCAATTCGACGGCAGTTAAACAATAAGAATTTAAGTCCTGCTCAGAGTAAATTTCTTGGTTGATGCAAGCTGGTATAGTTAGATTATGTGTGTGTGAAAGTACAAAAGGAGACTTACGTCATGGTTTTCTTCCCTAGGAGAAAAAAGGGTCTATGGGCTCAATGAAACTTAACACCATTGCCAAAGAAAAAGAGAGGGACTTGATTCCCACCCCAAATTTCTCATCTAGTTCCTCGTCGAATCTTTCCCCCCAGTAATGTAAGTTACACTGGTGTATCAGGAAGAATGTCCCGTGAGATCTTGCCCGTCGTGTGTGGTTGGTGACCACTGTGATTATGATGAATTTTGCTTAAGCCCAACCAGAAGTCGATGTCCATCCACTCACTCAACTAGACTCATCTCCCAACTTACAGCTCAGGTTTCATTTTTGCTGAGTCGTTGTCTTTTCTAGGATTTTGATGGAGTTATTTAATATCTCTGTGTTTTGGGTTTAATAACAACAGAATAAAAATTTTTAAAAACACTTTGGATCACATGCAAAAACTGAAATTTATTGTCAGTTTTTAAGTATGGTGGTATTAGCGATGTTGTTGTTAAGTGCCGTTGAGTTGGTTGTGACTCATAGGGTTTCTAAGAAGTGGCCAATGGGTTTGAACCACCAACCTTGTGGTTAGCAGTGCAGTGTTTAATCCTAGTGACACACAAGTATATGGGTATATAAACCTTAGAGTAAAATTTATACAGTTTTCCATTTCAAATCCTATGTTGTTGTTAAAGTACTATTGGTTCCGACCCATAGTGACCCTATATAGGGTTTCCAAGAAGCGGCTGGTGAGCTTGAACTGCCGACCTTGTGGTTCAAACCGCCCGTGAAGTCCAGTGCATCTTTACAGCACCACACCAGGATGTCTCTAAAATACCAAGTTGATTTGCCCCCTTCCCAGAGTTGCTTCGCTTGTCTGCACCTCATACTCTATTTTTAATCCTCAGGAATGCCAAAAAGAATTGGCAGCGCATTCAAGAGCATTTCTTTTTTGCAACATTTCACCCACTTAAGGATTACTGTCTGGAGGTGAGTGGAAAATATAATAAACATAGTCTATAACGTGTCTCTAATCCTGGGGCTCCTGGACTGCCCTCATTGCTGACAGGTGATCATTGGGTTCATTTTTTCAGTGCTTCCAAACACCACTGAACAGTTTAAAGCTCTAGTTAGTTAATCTCTCTTTATGCAGATGAGTTACCTGCATTTCACTGTTAAGCAATGAAAACTAGCTAGTCATTCTCACTTTCTGTTTCCCAGGCTGTGTCTGGCTTGTAATACTAGAAGGAAATATTTCACTCTAAACAGAAATCTGTTGACATAAAAAGGAAATGGGTAAAAACATTTGTGCAGGTGAGATTTTGTCATAATGAAGCCCATTACTAATGAGAGAACAAAAAATCTGCTGTCTTGTTAATTGCATATTTTAGGTGCTCAGTCACAACTGACACATCACATTATTGGTTATATCAGACCGGGCTTACAGAACCTTTGTTGTTGTTGTTATGTGCTGTTAAGTCAGTTCTGACTCATAGCAATGCTGTATAGGGTTTCTGAGGAGTGGCTGGTGAGTTTGAACTGCTGACCTTGTGGTTCAAACTGCCTTAACCCACAGCACCGCACCAGGACTCCTACAAAGATTTAAGAACCTTAAGTATGTTTGTTAATATGTAAATTATTTCATCTACTTTACTATAAAATTCAATGTATTAATTGCTAAAATTTCTATCATTCATATTGCTCTCTCCCTGTTTTAAGTATAATTATAAGGGTCTCCTTTTGAATTTAAAGCATTTGACCTAGGACCAGCTCCTCTAACAAATTTGAGATTATCGGTAATTTTAACTACTGTGTACAGCTTTTTCTTTTTGATTGATTGATTACTAATAAGGTGGCCTTTTTTCTTTTTAAAAAAGATATATATGATATATATGAGGAATGGTCGCTATGGGTCGGCTCCGACTCGAAGGCACTTAACAACAACAACAACAACATAGATATATATGAGGATAAATATATAGATATATATGAGGATAAATCAAAAAGTATTGTTGCTAGGGGTTCTAGATCATACATGCATGTGCTCATTCCAAACAAACCTGTGTAAATAAGTCTCTAAGACCAATGGACAGCTGTAGCCAGGGTGTCTTATTAATACACTCGTCTTAGTCTCGTTAGGGTACCTTCAAAGTAAAGGTCCAATCAGAACAGAACAGGCTCCTAAGGGAATTGGCTTGGCCACTTACATGACAGACAAAAGTTGATTGCAACTGTTTCTTGGGACTCCCAAGGGGCTTATCTTTATAAATTTTGTCTGTGGACATGGGAAAATCACTAGGGTTTCTTAGGAAGAAGTTTTAAGAAAATTGAAAACGGCACTGCTAAGAAAAAAGCCAGGAAAGTTGCAGTGAGGAATGTTTTGTATCATAACACACCTGGTCATTCTTTGTGGGTAGGGTAGCAAGGGCTGTCCTAGGAGAATTTTTTGGGAAACCTTATCCATTCATTCATCTTCAAGTCCTAATGTTACACTTTCAGATTTCCTTTTGTTCATCAAACTCGAAGAATATTTTACAGAACACAATTTGAGTCTCTCGGATGCCAGACCTGCCAATTTGACATGGTTTACATTTTTCGCAGGAATTTTTCAGGGAAGGGTTAAAGAGATGGAAACACTGCCTTGAGAAGTATATAAGCCTGGATGGACAAAATGCCGAGAAACAGTAGCTTTGCATTTTGATAGTTTTGTTCAATAAAGGATTCTATGAGTTTGAAGCAATACATTTTATTTACCCTTGTATTTCCTGAGATGCACGTCTTACAGCATTACTGTGTATCTTCTGTTACTTCAGTGCAAATGTTTTTGAGGATTTTCATAGCTGTGTTGAAAAATGAGAACAAAGCTTTTAACATGCTCTGCTGTGTGTTCTGTAGTGTCCAGAACGCTCTGTTTGACATATTTCTGAAGAACTCCTTTAATGACTACCTCGTATTAACACAACCTTGCTCTGTTCAGTTCTTTTCACAGGAGTCAGTTCCGGCTTCCCTCTTTCTCTTGCCCCTGCCTTTGACGAGCTCGCTCTGATGTATTCTTTATTCTCATGAGTGATCTGAGTCACAATTATATGTGTCAGTAAAATAATGAAAGTTAATAGCTAACAAAACTCTCTATGTGTTTAGAAGTTTGCATAGTATCCTAGATACTTAATCAACGTTGCGTTGCGATTATGAACAAAACCGTACTTATTCAAAAAGACATGCAGCTTGGTAGCGTTGCTTTTTAGTCCGTTTTTTAATTGCTTCCTCGCGCGTCTGCGGCTTCTCGGCCTCTTTCCTTTGGCTTGTTTTCTGGTTCTTGATTTTCCTTAAGTAGAGAAAAGGAGAGGAGGATTGCATATATATATCATGCAGTGTACAAAATACTGTCATTTGCTATTTTAATAGAATTTTACCTTCATTTTACAGATGGTAAGATCAGATTTACCATCATTTTAGCCAATAAGGTCTCACAGCATATATATCATTAAGACAAAATTCAGATTCTAAATTCATCTAAGGATATCAAGAGTAAAAGAGATGGGTGTCATCAAAGAGCTTGAACTTGATATGGCGATGTTTGGGCATCAGTGAATTGCATTTGTTTAAGCCTTATCCAACAAAGTTGTTGTAAGGTGCCATCAGTTTGCCTTCCCCTCTTAGTGACGCTGTGTGTGGTTTCTCCCACGTGCGGCTGACAGACTTATCCTACAGAATCTATCATGGCTGTTGTGGGGGTTCAGTGCCGTCAGGTTGGTTCCAACTCATAGCTAATCTGTATAGAGTTTCCAAGGCACCTAACAACAACAACAACAACAGTAGGGTTTCCAAGAAGCGGTTGGTGGGCTTGAACCGCTGACCTATCCTACAGTGCTACAGGAGGACTTCAAGATTAATACAGATAAATTCCAAAATACTTCCAAGAGCAGTGCGGTGCTGCATTACACATCTAGGGATACAGGAGTAGAAGACCTGCCTGCTCTCAGGGACTCCCCAGCTCCATTCCACATATTCAGAAAGCTGCTGCAAGATAGAAATGAAAGTGTGTCGTGTGATTAGATAGGATTGTTTGGGAAAAGTTGCCAGCAATCATAATTCTGATGTATTTTAAACATGTCATCACGTATTTCTTTGTTGTTTCTAAGGGAAAAATTCGATTTTACCGTTCTCTTTTCAGACCATATTTTACATCCTTCCCCGCCTTTCAGGCCTCATTGAAGATGAATGGATTGCCATTGATAAATTTACCAGATTCACTGAGATTCCTTTAGATGTTGGATTTCAGTGGTACCTTTCTCCAACCCAGCTTCGTGAACTAAAACCAGGGGACTGGTCTCAGCAGGACATAGGTAAAAACAGTATTTTGTTTTCCTTCCGTTGACTTGATTAGGCTTATTAATTTAAGCTAATGAGGACAGATAAGGGATGATACCACTTTTTCATTGATGTAATGAATTCTGATCCTTCACTTAGAGAAAAGCCATTGAAAAAGTTTAGTATAATTTTGACTGATACTTTTATTTGAAAAGTTAGTTTTGCTAGAAAAAAACAAAAAGAGAGCTGGATCTATTTTATGGAAAGTAAATGTAGATTCCCATTCCTTTTCAGTGTTACCGTGTTCTCCTGCTGTGTATTTATAGATACTAGATTTAAGAACGTGTAGGTATTTATTGGCCAGTTTAAACATAATGGCTAAAATTAGACAATAGGGGAGAATGATGGTAGCAGAACGGCAGAGTGAGCAGCTTCACATTCCTGTCCCTCCATAGACACATCAGGAAAACAACCAAAAAGGATCCAGAACCCACGTGGTCAGAACTCTGAAAAAGAGTAACCTTGCGAATGCTGGATCAAAAAAAGGCAACTTAAAAACATAGGAAAGTTTTGTGATACTTTGATTTGTCCATGGCGTTGTTGTCGTTCAGTGCCGTGGAGTCGGTTCTGACTCATAGCACTTCTGTATAGGGTTTCCGAGGAGTGGCTGGTGAGTTTGAACTGCCAGCCTTGTGGTTCGCAGTCCAGTGCTGATCCTACAGCGCCACGCCAAGAGCCCTAATTTGCCCAGACTCCACCCCATTCTCAGGCTTGGCAGCAGTTTGTCAAAGATGACAAACTTTGTTCCTATTGTGGAACGCTGGGTACTGGTTCTGGAAGAAGCAAAGCAAGCCTTGTCTACAGACAGTTGTGTTTGTCTAATCTATATGGGTGCTACCTGAAGGATTAATTCTAAGCACTTTTTTTTTTTTTTTAATGTTTTATTGTGAATTATGCGATAGCTTACATGGGAGAACATTAGCTTTACATTCATCCTATCGTATATCATTTCATTGCCATGGTTACAATCCCTCCATGCATCATCAAACAACCAAGGGGTCAAAGGCACTCTTTCAAGTTTCTTCTAACTTCAAACCCATTCGAGGTATAAAAGTGGGCAAGTATTGCTTGAAAACACTGTAAGGTGATTGGAAAACCCAGCTATCGTGGGTAAAAGATTGAAACGTAAAATGGGTTGTCTAAAGCCTGGCAGAGGGTTACTTTGAGAATTAGGACATTAAAAATGCTGGGGTATTTAGAAAGCTATCAGGGTACATGCCCAGAGAAGACTCATGAAAACCTCGAGCTTTTACCATGGCGTATCTGTAGACCCAGTGCGAGCCAGGAGGTGAGTCAGTCTGCAAAGACTAGGGCAGCGATGCTGTTCCTGGGGTTGAAGGAAACCTAGGTCAGTACATTAGCGAACATCAGCACTGGGCAAATCTGCTGCAAGAGACCTCTTTAAAATTTACCCTGCAAAGATGTCATTTTGATGACTAAGGTGTGCGTGACCCAAGCTCAAGCCGTGGTCTTTTGAGTCGCTTCATGCGCATGTGAAGGACAGACAGATGGATGATGCACTTGAATTGTGGTGAAGAATCTGGGATTTACTACAGGTCACCACCAGAAGGACAAGCGAATCAGAATGGAATCTGGAATATATTACAGATCATCTGAAGGACAAACAGAATGCTGAAGGACACACAAGCTGAATGCTCCGCAGAAGTCAGGGTGTTGATAACTTCATCTCACTTACTTTTAGGCAGATGGATGATGCATTTGAATTGTGGTGAAGAATCTGGAATATACTACAGATCACTAGAAGGACAAGTGAATCAGAATGCTGAAAGACACACAAGCCGAATGCTCCGCAGAAGTCAGGGTGGTGATAACTTCATCTCACTTACTTTAAACATGCCATCAGGAAAGACCACCCACTAGAAAAGAACATCATGTTTGGTAAAGTAGAGGGTCCGTGAAGATAAAAGGAAACCCACAATCAGTGAGATGGATTGACTCAATGAGACGGATTAACTCAGTGACCACAACCACGGACTCACACATACCAGCGAGCAGGAGTCTTAACGCAGGACCGACCGGACAGCACTTTGTTCTCCGCACATAAAGTCACCATGAGTTAGTTGGAACCATGATAACAACTAACACAACCAGCTTCCTTATGTGTGAAGCCTTTTACTCTGCTCTGCTCCATTCCTACACCACAGTCCTTGCAATTCCCGCATCATTGTCCTTCCATCTAATGCCTTTGTGCACATTCTGAATCAACTGTCTACTTCGCCCTTTTCCCCCACAGTCAGCTGTGCGAACTTGGTCAAATCTTCCCTCGAAGCTTCCTGGTCTTATCTCTCTGATACCCCCTTCCCAGACAGTAAAGACTCATTTTCTGAGTGTGCATACCCTTACCAGGACAGTAGGCGATAATGATTTGCACATCTCTTTCACCCTGGGAGCGTGGTGGCTCTGTAGGATGAACCCTGGACTGCAAACTACAAGGTTGGCCGTTCGAGCCCACAAATTGCTCCGTTGGAGAATGATGAGGCTTTCTGCTCCTGCAAAGATTTAAAGCCTCAGAAACCTGTTGTTGTTAAGTGTTGTCGAGTCCGTTCTGACTCAGTGACCCTGTCCTGTATAGGGTTTCCGAGGAGCAGCTCGTGGGTTTGAACTACCAACCTGGTGGTTCACAGTGCAGTACTGATCCTACAATGCCACACCAGGAGTGCTGAGAACCCCTATACTGACTGGATCATTTGAGTCAGCCCTGAATTGACAACACTTAACAATAACTGTACCCCAGTAAGCAAAGTACTTCTTGTGGGCTGGGAATGTGTCTTCCTGTTTAGACAGCCCAGCATCATGAGCAAGACTTTAGGAGGTACAGGGAGGAATCTTCTTTTGAGACTGTCTCAGATCAAAACACTTTAATTACATAAATTAATAATGTTCTTTGTACTTATCAGATGAGGAAAGAAATAATTGTTCTGTAAACTGTCCTTCCTTTTAGTAACGTTTCCCAAGCACTCGTAAAGTCATTTAAAATAAGAGAATTTTTAAAATACTGTTTACCAGGACTATCCTATTTCTACAGAAAATCATAATTAACACTCTCTTGTTTGTAAAATGCAGTATTTATTATATATCTGTAAGCAAAAATTGCTGCCAAGCTATAATGTTGATTCTAAGATGCTCTTAATATGCAAAAATGGGAAAAGATTGTGCCTCTTAGATTGTACATTCTGTGAAATGTAAGATACTAGTTAGTAGAGCTGAATTTGAAAACTTTGAATTATTATTAAAAAGGGCAAGTGTATTGAAATCCAGGCAGAGTGCATTAGATAATATAATGAATCAAATTCTAAATTACCATTTAAAACCAGGGCTTTGTGAAACATGACTGCCTAAGCGAGGTGGACCGGGTCTGAGTTTGTGAAATGTGGAGGAACCAGGATAGTAGCTGGAATCAAAGAAACGATTGGCTGACGTCCTTGTGGAAACTCAGTCTCCGTCTTAGAACACCGCGGCAGGCAGGCTGTGTGTTTGTTACGTAGCAAGCTAGTCAAGCAGAGCTGCCTTGCTCCAGTCAGGCGGCAGCCGGGCCTCCCTGAGTGTGTGTCATGCATGCGGGGTGTCCTGACAGTGATCCAGTTTCTCGCATCAGGCTCCTGAGAGCACTCAGCCTGTGCCTTCTCTGAGCCTCTCATTCCGGGACTTTGACACATCATTTTCCCCCTTCCAATTGTTCCATTTCACCCAGACTTTAAAAAGTCAAGTCTGTTCCAATTTCACTTTGTTACCCATAAATGAAACAAATTCAAAACCCTGTGTATATGTATTGTGGTTGTTAAGTACCGTTGAGTCAATTTGACCCATAGCGACTCTGTATAGGGTTTCCCAGGAGCAGCTGGTGAGCTTGAACCGCTGACCTTGCAGTTTAAACAGCTTTGCACTGACTCGTTAACCCACAGCACCACAGGACTCCTGTGTATACATATAGATACAGATATATGTTGGTAAGTGCCGTCGAGTCCGTTCAACTCATAGCGACCCTGTACAGAACTTCCAGGAGAGGCTGGTGGGTTTGAACTGCCAACCTTGTGGTTCGCAGTCCAGTGTTTATCCTTAACAGCATATACACTCCAGCAGTCTGTGTATATGCTGTTAAGTTGGACAACTAGGAGTCCTGGTGTGGTGCTGCTGGACAATGACCGGAAGGTAGGTTTGAACCTGAACTACAGCACTTAACAACAACAACACTGTGTGTGGGGTGGGGGGAGTATGTGTGTGTATATATATATATATATACACACACGTATTCATTCACCAGGGCGGGGGGTGGGGGATCTCCTGGTGTGATGCACTGAACTTCCAACCCAAGGTTGGCAGTTCAAACCCATTAGCTGTTCATACACAACGTTGCTGTGAGTTGGAATCAGTTCGATGGCACTTGACAACAACAATGATAACCGATAGCGCATGTGCAGGTGGTGTAAATGGTTAATTGCTGAAATGTTCGGTGCCTCGGAAGACACGTCTGGCAATCTGCTTCCAGATTCTGAAGCCCCCACGGAGCAGTTCTGCTCTGCACACACGGGGTCACGGGAGTCAGAACTGACTCAGCAGTGCTGAACAGCAAACAGATGATAATTTTCCTCCTCAGGTTCTAACTCTGCAGAAGGCGATAACCAGTCAGAGTGGACTGATGTTCAGAGGAAGATTATCCCATGGAAAAATCATGGTCCAGATCTAGAACTGGAGCTGGAATTCCCGGATCGTGCTGCCAAGCTGGGCAAGTCGACTGGCAGGCTGATCGTAGTGGCTTCGCTCATTGATAAGCCAACCAATTTAGGAGGTAATGTCACCGTGTTCCAGGGAACTTGCTTAAAGTCTTTGGATCCTGAGAATTTTAATCAATCCATTGCTATTTTGGGCTTTCCCCCCACATTTGGGGAAAAAAAATACCAAGTAATATCTGGGGTCTAATTCACTTATCATATGTGGGAAACACTGTGAATTTTCCTTTGCTCTCTGTAGGATTATGCCGGACGTGTGAGATATTTGGGGCTTCAGCGCTTGTTCTCGGCAGTCTGCATTGTATCAGTGACAAACAGTTTCAGCACCTCAGTGTCTCGGCAGAACAGTGGCTTCCTTTGCTGGAGGTGACTGAAGAGTGTTGATTAGACACAGTTTCACTTGCTGCATTACTTCACCATTTTATAGTCTTCTGTCTTCATGGGTCATTTCTAGTGACTCACAGTATCCCAACCTCTAAATAGTTAGAAATACAATGCCATCTACTTCTGGTTTTCAGATGTTTTGTATCTTTATGTCTTCAAGAATGTAGGATTGATTCTTTTTAGAATGCCCACTATTGCAGCTCAATCTTGATTTAAGAATAATTTTTATAAATATTTGAGTAGTTTCTTTTATAGAAAGTGTACAAAGTTTTTTCATTGAAAAACATTTTTTTATTTAACAAGCTTAGTTTAATAAAAGCTCTTTTAGAACTCTTAATTATCTCCAAGCATTCCATGTGAATGATTTAATTTTCTTCTCTTTTACAATTAATATTAAGGTAAAACCACCACAGCTGATTGATTATATGCAGCAGAAAAAAGCAGAAGGTTACACCATCATTGGTGTGGAACAAACGGCCAAAAGTCTAGACCTAACTGAATACTGCTTTCCTGAGAAATCTCTCCTCTTGTTGGGGTAAGAAAGTTCTATTTTGCATTGAATATTCTGAGTTTCTATTAAGTTTTACCCTCCTATTTTATAATTTATATAGACTCCTGATAGTATATTTGCTCCAAGACCTTGTCATCACAGTTAACCCTTTTGCCAGTTACTCACAATGGAATCAGATCGTCCTGTCAGCATCTTCTGTCACCTTCTCTGACCCAGGCCCATGGGCAAAAGAGTCACTGGGTGGGAGTTACAAAGACTAAGGCTAGAAGAAGCGTATTAAATAGTTCGTTGCACTGCAGTGAACTTTCATTGCACTTAACTTATTGCTTGGTACCCCAGGTGCATGTAATTCGTTCAACTGTCTCCTAGAATAACGTTTATCAACCCCTTCCTTTCTCCACATCAGAAATGAACGTGAAGGAATTCCAGCCAATCTCATCCAGCAGTTGGATGTGTGTGTGGAAATTCCTCAGCAGGGCATCATCCGGTCGCTGAATGTCCACGTGAGCGGGGCTCTGCTGATCTGGGAGTACAACAGACAGCAGCGGCTCAGGCACTGAGACCAGAGAACACGTTGATGCCTCATCGGTGATGAATGTTGGGTGGTGTTGAAACTCTTTTTTTTGTAAACATTTGGACTAATGAGATAGACTCTGAAATCTTATTAGAATAATGTGTATTTCTCTTTTCTTGCAATTCAATGCCAAAGTTTTTCATGTGCCTTAAATATATTACTATAATATTGTTTCCTAAGTAAACACTTGAAGTTAAATTATATGGCTTCTTTAATAAAATATTTTAAACAGTATGTTTAAAATATAACGTCTTTCCTAGAAACGAGTGCTATTACCCATGTGGACTGTGGAAAAAATGAGGGGGAATTAAAGCAGCTTTTCTCTAAGATAAAACACCCATGTCCGTAAGTCATAAGGAAACAGGGTGAGGTTGAGGGGAAGAGGGTTTGGAATGAATCTTCAGCCTGTTGTTACATTTTGTATTCGATAGTGTGGCTCTGTGGGCTAATGCGTCAGACTGCAGAGTCATTTGAACTACAAGATCAGTAGTTCAAGTTCACCTGTTGCGCCTTGGAAACCCTATACAAGGTCGCTATGGGTCGGAATCGACTCGACAGCACTTAAGAACAGCACCAACAACTCTTTGGAAGCATACAAAGACTTGGCGAGATACTGAGCTGGCTTCCCCATAATTTTCATCATGCTTTATAGTACAACATGGGCTTTTTTTGTTAAAGACATGAGCTTGTCCGGAATTATTCATACTAACTTTTAATGAAGTTTTTCCTGCATGCGGATCAGTCAAAAAGTATTGCTACAGGTGTCCAATTGAGACATGCTGAGTTGATTCCAAACAAAATGTGTTTAAGCATGCCTCAGTGATCAGGGTATGGCTGTCGACACGTTCTCTCAGTTACACGTTCACTTGTCTTAGTCTTCAAAAACAAAAGGATACTGTTTGTGGCATGAAAAACATTATTTTGAGGTCAGAGATAATACCAAAGTTTTAACAGAACTCAAGTGGACGTCTTCCCAAGTCACCGAAGCTCTGCAGCAAGATTATAGGAATGCTGCTCCACAAAAAACAATGGATCTTAGATGGACCAAGTGTTTCAAGGAAGGTCACCTCTAAGGTGAGCCAAGACAGGGACGACCACCAGCCTCAGCAAATGAGACTGGATGAGGTCTCGAAACTGGTGCAAGAAAAACCACAGAAGCATCCTTGGCAAGACAGCTACCGAAGTCGGCGTCTCCCATGGTTCTGCGTTTTCAACCCCAGGCAAACTGGCCTGGAAAAGCTCAACGGGTGCTGGAAGTGTTGCCCTTCGAGCTGACCTCGCTCACAGCTGACCAGTCTTAGGAGCTAATGAAGACCGTTACGCAGCCAGTCATAAACGGGAACAAGTCTTAGATCTACCAATGTGATTGAGAGAGCAGGATCCAATCGGGACAGTGACTTCTGAAAATTCAAGGCACAGAGGCCAGCTCAAAAGCTTATGGCAACTTTGAGGGGGATTTCCAAGAGGTAATCTTGATAGATTTTCTCAAGAGGGTCCAGGACAATCGTGGGGGGTTATTAGAAAAAGGATTTTTTTTTTTTTAATTGAAAAGTGCGCTGGTGAGAGAAAGGCCAGGACCATTGCTCTAGGGGGATTTTTTTCCATCGCGACAATGCACCTGCTCATGCTTTGAGGGAAACGAGGGCTGTGTCTGAGAATTTTCCCAGAAGCCCTTACCCCGTCTACCCTACAGCTCTCTATAACCTTTTTACCAGATCTCACACCAGCCCTCCCTCCCATAGCACCTGTTCTTCTCAGCTGAGTTTGATAATTCATTGCCATGGCCACACACAACTCACACAGCACTCAGTAATTACAGG